CCCCACTCTCGGCCGTACCAGGGCATTTGGGGGCAGACTAATGGAGTAACTGGAAGAGTTAAACATTGTCTCATAAGAAATAATAAGACATTTTTTCATTATGATAAATTGTGATATTGTGATAATGTCAATTAGATATTTGAAATCACTGACTGAATAATAAATTTATTTAGTCATGTTTTGATGTGTACTACTGATATCAAAAGATATAAGTAGTATATATCATCCAACAAAAGTGAAATTCCTAGTGGTAGAAAGTTAAGAAGATCGAAGAAAACAGAACGACAATAGAGATTAATTGATGTGGAAATTAAGGAATAATAAAGTCTGAGACAATTGATAGACTTTTGCCAATCAATTATTTACTGTATGGTTCTCATTTTTTGCAAAGAAATTGTGTAAATTCAAATTCAAGTATATTTGATTGCCTGAGAAGATAGTCAATAACATACGGAATTCCTATGATGGATTAAACTGCAAAATCGTTCATGGAGGACAGTTGACAAAGTCGTCCGAAGTAAACACTGGTGTCAGGCAAGGATGCTTACTCTCACCATTTCTCTTTCTCCTGGTGATCGACTGAATCATGAACACGTCAACATCTGAAGGGAAGCATGGGATACAGTGGACATCTAGGATGCAGTTGGATGATCTAGACTTCATAGATGGTCTGGCTCTTCTATCGCAAACGCAACAACAAATGCAGGAGAAGACGACCAGTGTAGTAGCAGCCTCAGCAGCAATAGGTCTCAATATACACAAAGGGAAAAGCAAGATTCTTCGATACAACACAGCATGCAACAATCCAATCACAATTGACAGAGAAGATTTGAAAGATGTACAAACATTTACATATTTGGGCAGCTTCATCGATGAACACGGTGGATTTGATGCAAATGTGAAGACGTGGATCGGCGAAGCAAGAGCAACACATTTACAGATGAAGAACATGTGTAACTCAAAACAATTGGCAAACAACGCCAAGGTCAGAATTTTTAATACAAATGTCAAGACAGTTCTACTGTATGGAGTGGAAACCTGTAAAACCATGAAAGCCATCATCCAGAAGATACAGGTGTTTCTTAGCAGTTGCCTACGCAAAATACTTCGGATCCGTTAGCCGGACACTCTCAGCAACAACCTACTGTGGGAGAGAAGAAATCATATCCCAGTGGAGGAATAAATCAGGAAGAAACGCTGGAAGTGGATAGGACACACATTGAAGAAAGCACCCAACTGCTTCACAAGACAAGCCTTCACATAAAATTTTCAAGGTCGAAGGAGGAGAGGAAGATCAAAGAACACATTACGTCGATAATGTAGATAGACATGAGAAGAATGAACAAGAATGGGATAGAACTAGAAAAGAAGTCCAATGACAGAGTGGGTTGGAGAATACTGCTCGGCTGCCTATGCTCCATTAGGAGTAACAAGCGTAAGTAAGCAATTAAGTAATATTTGGTTGTCCCCATTGTTGTTCTTATTCATTACAATGTCAATCTGTTGTTTATCTATCAGTAACTAGTTTGTTTATGCTTTATACTATGTAATAAATCTATATAGACAACTGATCAAGAGCAGAAAATGACTGTCCACGCTGTCAAATGCTTTTTCGTAGTCGACGAAGTTGATATAGAGTGATGAATTCCATTCAATTGATTGTTCCACAATGATCCGTAGAGTTGCGATTTGGTCTGTGCACGATCTATCCTTTCAGAATCCTGCATGTTGGTCTCGAAGTTGGGCGTCTACGGAGTCCTTCATCCTGTTTAACAATACCCTGTTGAAGACTTTTCCTGGTATTGAAAAAAGAGTGATTTCCTTGTAGTTGTCACAGTTGCTGAGAACGCCTTTCTTTGGTATTTCGACCAGAAGTCCTTCTTTCCATTCTGTTGGTACTTGTTCCTCATCCCAAATCTTATTGAAGAGAATGTGGAGTATCCTTGCAGTTGCCGCTACGTCTGCTTTCAGTGCCTCTGCTGGAATGCTGTCTAGTCCTGCTGCTTTGCTACACTTGATTTGTCTAATAGCCATGCTCATTTCTTCAATTGTTGGTGGGCCAACATCAATTGAGAGGTCCGTGAGTGCTGCTTCGATGGTGGGTGGGTTCAGTGGGGCTGGTCGATTCAAGAGTTCTTTGAATTGTTCTACCCACCTGTTCCGTTGTTCTTCAATGTTGGTGATTATCTTGCCTTCCTTGCTTTTCACTGGTCGTTCTGGTTTACGGTGATTTCCAGAGAGTTTCTTTGTTGCGTCATACAGTTGTCTCATGTTTCCTTCTTTGGCAGCCTTTTTCGCCGTCATCGCTAAATCTTCCACATATTTACGTTTGTCAGTTCTGATGCTCTTCTTCACTTGCTTGTTTACTTCTGTGTATTCGGCTTGTGCCTTGACTTTTTCTGCTCTTGTTCGACTGGTATTGATTGCTGCTTTCTTGTTCCTCCTTTCTTGAATCTTATCCAGTGTATCGACCGTGATCCAATCCTTGTGATGGTACTTCTTTTGGCCCAGAACCTTTAGATATTCGTGTATAATTCAGATGCATTAATCATATGCCTTCATGACTGAAGTTCTTTCATTAGATCTTTCATTAGCAAATCTTCCATCAATTGTCTCAAACTTCATTGTTCTTTCATTGCCATAACAATTACATTCGGTTCTTGTTTTCTACGATTTCTTCTTCTCAACTACAAAATGAATAGCTTATTCATAAATGAATAGAACAACATATATAATTAGAAAATATTAGTTTCAATGAGAACTTCATCAGATATTGTTTTTTACATTTTTCATATCTACATTCTGATACACAAATTAATACAATGACAGGTCATACAAATTCACCTTGATCAAGAATCAATTGACATTGATATATTCAGACGTACTATGATTCTAATTGTACCAAAAATGTTCCTCATTGTTTCCTTTGTACTATTTAAACTTGCATTGATTTAATTCTGTTACTTGTGTACTCTGAAGAAGTGGCTTACGTTAGATTACGAAACGTCAGAAACGTAATTTTTCCACTGATTAGGATATAACTATATATATATATATATATATATATATATATATATATATATATATATATATATATATATATATATTTGTTATTAACTTTCTATCCAATACTCAACTTATTTGAAACTATCATGTCCAACCTTGGCATTGATATCGATTATGTCTCACTGGCATTTATTCGGAAGTGGACACTCACTGAACAGATGATGCTAAATCCTTTAAATTAAAGTGACGTTTTGGAAATCTCCACTTGCCAATTGAATATCTGGTGGTTCAAACTCCTCCTATCAGCTTCAGTTATACCTTTGAAATGAGTGAGGCAATTAAGGGGAAAGCTAGATCATAAAAAGTCTGTCTCTTTTTCTTTTTATATTGTATGAAATCTTATCAAGGCGGGAACACTTGATCTGGACAGAATGGCTCGATAATGCAGATATTGTCACTTTATGTAACCTCTTAATCATCATATCGAATATATTATTCTGTCACCGATCTAAATAGGTCCTTCAAAGTATCATAAAATACATAATGCTAACTATCAAAATAGGACGAGTTATTAATGTGATTTCTAAGTAAGATCTTACAGAGTAGGTAGTCACATCATGGAAATCCATAATATTGGATTTTTTATTATTCTAGTAGCATAGTCGAGTGCATTGGTATCGACATTGACTTAAATCCTACAAATCATCAAGAGAAACCGCCACGAGTTTTTAAGAGTATATCAAATATATCAAGATTTCTCGAGCCACTTACAAATGTGAAGAAATTCCAGGACTGATCTTCAATGAGCTCTTCAGAGAACATCCAAAAGTGCTTATCACATTGTGATTAATTACTGGGTCATAATTGAGTCTATCATACTTTAAAGTCTAGAGACTCATTGCTCTATTATTCATCAGGCTTTATTCTAATACACAATAATCTTAATATGAAATTATTATGATAATAAGTTACATAATGAACCAATATAGATAAAGGAAATACAAATTCATATTAAGATCATAAACGTACTAGTTTAGTGATCAAGAATGGAGACAATTGAATGTATTTAGGAACGTAATTACAAAGCATCTCAATAAAATTTGAGAACCATATTATAGTAAATCGTTAATTTGCAAAATATCAATTCATCATATCAAAGTTGACTGTTCCTGTTGCCAACATCAATCTATTGTCTCAGATTTTATTGTTCATGCGTTTTCATACAAATTGCATTGTGTTCCCGCTCTTCCTTACTTGATCTCCCCTCATCTTTTGCTGCCAGACATTACGTTCCTAACTCGCGTCATATACTACTGATGTCTACATAAGTAGTACACACCACACTAATAGTTGTACAATGAATAACATTTGAAATAAATAATTCAACAGATGAAATAAAATGTAATATAACACTAACCATTTAAACATTACGTAATAAGTAGTGTGTATATATGAATAGTTAGTAAAGAATCCTACAAACAGGATTGTAGATGAACACTGACACTGAAGAGTCCGATACTAAGACGAAATCGTCTTCCAATACTTCCAGGTTTTCCATCGTGATGTAGCTTTAATTGATTTGTGAATTCAACTGTTAAATTACTAAAATCTCCGGTGAGACTATAATTTATGGATGACTTTTGAGCGACGCTAGATTGACGTTGAGAGTGTCCACCCTAAACACCAGGAGCAAATGACGGTTATAAACGTGTATGAGGAATTCGAATGATGATTTATAGTTGATGATTAAGATTAGAAATTAGATTCAGGGCTTTCATCACGAAATGATATCTACTATAATGCCAAAACTCTATTTAGCTAAATGAGTGAATGAATTCCTCGACAAAATCCAAGACCTGCTATCTTATAGCTGATTAGTTCGTCCATAAATTGTAGTCTCGCCAAATTTCCACAAAACTTCCTACTGACAATAATCTGAGTTTCTCTTTATTAAGTTATTCAACGAATTAAATTTTTTTTTCTTTTCTATTAATCTAAGCAAACAATATGAAATGATCATCATCATCATCATCATCCAAAACATCATCATCATCAAAAACATCATCATCATCCAAAGCACCACAATCATCATCATCATCCGAAACATCATCATCATCCAAAGCACCACAATCATCATCATCATCCGAAACATCATCATCATCCGAATCATCATCATCAACATCATTATCATCATTATCCATCACCATCCCATTATACTACTGTCTATCAAAAATATAATTAAATATTAATTGAATTTGACATATACACATTTCATTAACCTATAAACAATTAGATATCATAATAACTGTCTATTGTTTGTTTGCTTGTTTGTTTATTTATTTGCATTGCAACTTGTATTTATTTCTTTATTTATTTATTTTTGATCATGTTTATTTCAAATTAATGAAATGATTAGATAAAGGAATACAAATTTTGAATTCGGTAAACAGCATGTTGTCAAGGATACAAAAAATATACATATACATATACACCCCCCACCACGTCTTATACTCTATACACAATTAATGATATTCATCACATCACTATTACATATTAAATATGTTGTAATTATAGAAGAAGTATCCAGACTAATCTATTTGATTGATACAACCGATTTACATACACTTACCTATATATACAACATATATTTATATTTAGAAATAAGCACAAAAAATAAACAAATTGAAGGTAGACCATGAATGAATTGTGCTTTTTCTTTAATGAACTATATAAAAGTAAAACACTTAATGAACATTTCATTACTAAACATGAAATGTTTTCAGTAGATTGATAGAAATAGATAAGTTAAGCAAGGATTTAGATAGAGGAAGAAGAAGAAGAAGAAGAAGAATAGTGACCAAGATGATGGTGATGATGCTTCGGATGATTTGGATGATGATGATTTGGATGATGATGATTTGGATGATGATGATGATGATTTGGATGATGATGATGATTTGGATGATGATGATGCTTCGCATGATGATGCTTCGGATGACGATGATGCTTCGGATGATGATGATGCTTTGGATGATGATGATGATGTTGATGATGGTTAAATTAACTGTAACTATGAGGCTGGTTGAAATAAATAGATTTTCATAAGCTGATTTTGATTAAATTCTTCAAGTTTCATTTCATCAGTTAAGTTGTGATGTAAGCTACTTATATCCACATAAGTAGTATATAATGATCGTTAGGAATCGAATGTATTTCTATAGAAGATCGAAAAGGAAAGAACGAGAATGGAAAGCAATTGATATAAAAATGCAGGAACAATGAAATCTGAGACGATGAACTGATATTTGCAAAAGAAACAGTCAATTTTCAGACAAATGAAGTAATTTCGTGTTCATAAACATTCTATTGCTCCTACTGGTGTTCTTGTTCACTACAAAGTGAGAATAGTCATTCTATTAGAACAATGAAAAGTTACTTTATATCGAGAATCTCTAGTTTCTGGTGATATGACTCATTAATCTTTCCCTGTACATGTCTAGTGAGAAACCATAACCAGATGAGTTCGACTATGTTCAGTTTTAGATAGTTATTTACTTAGTATTCATTTGGCTTGCTGATGGGATAGGATTATCCATAATATTGAAGAAAATAACAAACCGGGGATCGATTTCTTTTATTACTTCCTATAACATCATAAATGACTATTATGAACAAACATGCGAACAGTTAGAGTCCCAGGCGACAGCAACACTTAAAAACTAAATTTGTGCCAACACTTAGAGTATTACATTAAATGCTGAATTTTAGTACACTGAAACATTAAATTATGCAGCTACACAAAAACAGCAGAAAAATTCACAAAACCAGGCAAGCCAACTGCCATTGCTTACAAAGACGGCAGCAATGATAATTCCCTCTTCGCTAAGTAAACTGCTACAATTACAAAACGGAGTTAAGTTTAATTGCAGCACTCTCATTCCTGTAAAACATTTAGCTGGATAAGTGGTAGGATTCAAACTGCAGTAAGAAGGACCTGACATACGTGACATTGATCACTACCCCGTGATCAATCAATTATGAATACATTTCAGTCCTACAGGAGGTCAGTTGTGGCCCGGATAGCCCAATAGTAACATTTCTGACTGTGAAGCTAGGTGACACGGGAGCATCAGTTCCACCAAGATTACAGGCACACGTTGCTGACGAGTACCGAGCAACACGAAACCTAGGTCCAGGGCTTCCTGTTGACTACTTTCAACAACCATCTTATCTCAATATAGTGCATGGAAAGTAGAGTCATCTAAATTAAGTATATGAGATAATGCGGCCATAAATCCATTTACCTGCTGTGTATTTTCCAAGATATTTTAACACATATTTAATGTTATTATTTTCAAATAATTAAATTATTTAATTTCAGTGGTTGAGATAATGGGTCATTTGAAGCTAGACCACCATAGAAAACCTGAAAGCACTGGACGGTCGTTTCGTCCTACTGTGGGACTCCTCGACAGTGCTCATCCACAACTTCGCCTTGCGAGATTCGAATCCCGGACATATCAGTCTTGCGCGTGAGAGCTTTATTAAATTATTTAGGTCAAAACCTGAGAAAAAGTAATGGGAAATATCAGTATGAGGTTGTGGAGATTAATAAGTTTTTGATTAACGTCATGAACCGATTGATGTTCGACAATAACACGGTTGGATGCCAGCTCAGTAGTCTAGAGATGAAGCGTTTGTGTGCGGGACCGAATGCCCTGAGTTCGAATCCCGAGAGTGGGGTCGTGAATATGCATTGCTAAAAGTCCTGTACTAGAACGTAACGACCGTTCAGTGCTTCTAGGTTTTCCATGGTAGTCTAACATTAATCGATTCATGATCTCAATTAGTGAGAAAGTTCCTATCAAAAAATTAATATTCGTTTGGGAGTGTGTGTGTGTGTGTGTATGAATAATTGATTTCTGTTTTTCCCCATTGTTTATACTGTCATACCTTTTAAAGTAGTATAATCATATGCTTAGTGGTAGCTAATTTTGATAATTAATTTCAAGAATTTCAATAAGAATCTGTGGCCAGTGTAATCCGACAATGTCAGGTGTAAGTCATTTACTGACCAATGATATTGAAAGATAACTGAAGTTAGAAAATTATACTATCAGTTACTAACTCAATAGTCTAAAAATTGAACACTGATACTAAGACCTGAAGGACTAGGTTTCTATCCTATATGGTATTGCATTGCTTCACCATATTCACTGGTTGTCGAACCAAGTCAGTTTTTATTATAAATTGCTTTTTAAGTAATATTTTTTGAATTCCTGGAAGCACTGAAAAACCGTTTCATTCTAATATGAGATTCCTAAACCGTGATCGTCCACGATCCCGTTCCACAAGATTTGAACTCCGAACCTTTGACGGCGAGACTATAATTTATGGACGAACCAATCAGTCTTACGATAATAGATCTTAGGTTTTGGCGAGAAATTTATTCACTCATTTAGCTAAATATAGTCTTGACATAATAGCTGATGTTAATTCGTAATGAAAAACCTAAATCTAATTCTTATCCCTAACTACCAGCTTTAAATCATAATCCTTATTCTTCAAACTGCTTTATAACCCTCATTTAACCTTAATAAGTAGGTAGACACTCTCAACGTCACCTTAGCATTGTTCAAATGTCATCCATAAATGGATAGTCTCACCTCTTCGACCTCTCCTACAAACCCTTCACCTCTAAACCATTAAGTTGGCATCCAATGATATTTAAGTTAAAATGCTAACAAACTATTATTATTCGTTCACATAATGATCGTTATAGGAAGTATATAACGAAAATCACTAATTAAAATAATCATAAAATCATCTAGATATATGTATATACATCATAGTAATGACTTAGCTTCCCTTTAAAGTTTCCATAACCATTGATAACCTGTTAATTGAATCATTTCCAATTGGGAATTTAGTTACTCACCAGTAAATAGGGAAATAAATAGTAATAATAATAACTAAATTAGTTAACAACTGTAGTTATAATAAGTCATTATGTTCATTATCTTCATTTAGTTTTTTTTTTTGTAGTTTGTAAAACAGGAAAACAAAAACAAGAACAAGAAAAAAGAAAAAAAAGAGAAAAAAAGAAAAGAAAAGAATCGATTGTGAAGCATCCAAAATAATAATAAAAAAAATGCATAGAACTGTTTATTCACTATCTTCCTATAGTATTCACGTTTACAATTGTATTCCCTTTAAATTTTATACTTTTTTACTAAATGACTGACTAACTGACCAACTACTTACTTACTTACTTAAGCGTGTTACCCCTTGTGAAAGAGCATAAGCCACTGACCAGTGTTCTCTATCAAACTCTGGCGTAAACAATCCTTTCTAGGTTTTTATTTCCAGTTACTTACTATTCATCATTTTTATATCTGCTTTCAATTCCTGATACAGTGTGTTCTTTGGTCTTTCTCTGCATCGTTTCCTTTCAGAATTTCAGGTTAGTGTTTGCTTTCATGATGTCGTTTGATGATTTTTTTTAATGTATGTACTATCTACTTTCAATGTTTTTTTTTCCTTAATTTCCTCTTTAGCTGAAAGCTAGTTTGTTCTTTTCCACAGTCGACTGTTATTGATGGTATCAGGTCAACGAACACTGAATATCTTGTGTAAACAGTTGTGGAGATTGTTGAGTTTCAAATTAATATCATAAATGGATCAATGTTAAACCACCCTGGAGAACCTGGAAGTACTGGTCGACTGTTCCGTTCTAGTATGAGACCCTTCACCAGTGTGTATTCACGATTCTACACGTGAGACTCGAACTCAGGACCTAAAGCCTCACACGCGAATGCTTAACTTCTAGATCATTAAAACCGGTATTCAATAGTGTTAATGTCTAACTTCAAATAATCCACGATATTGTGCAACAATCCATCAGTGTCTTCAATGAGTAACTATTTTATAAATTAACCCTATTTGGTGTTACTCATTTCTATTAAGAGATATATTATACAGTACAAAATAATATTACCCATGTATCTTTGCATCCATCTTCATGTGACTATAAATGTAAACATACACGTATACATACATTGGACAATTATGAGTCATTGCCAACTTCTTCTTTATTCCCATATCATGTAACAGTAAACACTATACAAATCAATTCAACACCAAAACTTTCATAGAAAAAAAAACAACCTTAATATAGTTTTCTTCACTTCTTTCCCTATCA